TGAGGTTGAGGTGTGGGGCGGTGAGGTGGAAGGGGGAGGTGCATGTGAGGAAGGCAAGATATGGGGTGGTGAGGTGTGGGGCAGTGAGGTGTGCGTGTAGGGGGTGAGGTGCCGGCCTGCTGGCAGGGCCCTGAGCGCTCCTGCTCTCACCAATGTTCCCACGTCACCGTCCTGCATCGGCTGCTTCTACTTTTATCTCTATCGCGGCTTCCTTTAGTCTTGCCCTCAGGTCACCAGAACAAGTCCTCTAAAGCTAGTGAACTCGCCTGCAGCTGAAAAGTTTAAATGTTTTAATATGTAACACACTGGTACGTGGCAAAGGTGCTGTCTGTGAGCCTGGACACGTACTGGGAGTTTCATGTTAAATGCGTTAGATTTTTCACTTCGATGTTGTTTGGCTGCTTTACTGAAGGATTTTTTTTTTCCTAGATAAAATATCTATTGTTTTGGAAGAGGCATTGTTTGCAGTAAGTGAATTGAGTGCCATCAATAAAAAAAAAAAAACAGGAGGAAGAGATGCAGGACACTGAAGAGGATGACATGGCTTGTGGAGACTTGGGGAATGGACTTGGGAGAAGACCTGGAGGTGTCTATGAAGTGGAAGATTTACAAAACTCCTATCTACTAAGATGTAGGAAAGGGTCTGCAAAGATTTGCAGCCCTCTCTTGATAACAAAGAAAGGGGAAGAAAATGACACCGCAGTTCTTCCCTGTTCAAAACGAAACAGTTTTTCTGGTGGATCGTCCAAAAAGCCTGGAGTTGTAGTGACTGGTTGGACCCAACAAAATAGCTGTGGTAAGACTAATTTACAGTTAATTACTCACCATCGTTTTGTAAATCTCTGTTCGCAAAATTGAGCGATTCAGCTACTTCACAAGCAGTTACCAAGTTTAATCCAAACTGTTTGCAAGAACACTTAAAATCGCTGAAACGTTAATTTGCATTATGTTCAGATCTAATACAGTCTTACAGGTTAGCTTTTATAGCCTTAAGGCCTCCTTTTGAGCTGCTGTGTGGCTGGTGTCGCAATAAGCAATACTCCTAGCAATTGAGGCAGAAAAGCGGTCTCTGTTCCTTGCTCGTCCTCCAAAAATATTAGAAGGAGAGGTGGACGTTATGTTAACTTTTTCTGGATCAATCTGTGGCCATTCTTAGTGTGAAATGGATTTTGCTTCTGAAAGTGCTATTTAGCAAAGAATCCTCTGACAGGGCTGAGGGGGCAGGCAGTTATTTATTCTCCATATATGTATTTGTGTGTATGTATGTGTGTTAGCATATATATACAGACACAGATATGAAAAGTACATGTGTGTGTGTGTACACACACGCACATATATATGTACATATATGAAATAGAGTGGGACTGTCCTGTTTGGCTTCCTGGTCTATTTCCCTGAGAACATGTCTAAATCGAGTTCATGGCTAAGTATTTAAAATCTTGTTTGCTATTTAGCTGAAATTTGTGAATTGGCATAGTTCTGAGGTTAAGAAGTCACCCTTATAATCTGCATTGTCTCTGTTCTTTCAACATCGTTGTTCAATTTTTTGTGAAGATAGTGCTGCTGTGAATACAATAAGATACAGGTAGTGCTGTTCATTACAGTTTAACTTTCTGCTTCCCTTTAGGGTTTTTTTAGCCACTTTTAGTGTTTTGACCAAAGTATTTCCATATAATTTGCCTATTTCTCTCTGCTACAGCAATTCCCCACCAGCCTTTCCCCACACTGCAGTGAACTAACCCGTCTAATTATTCTCTTTTGGTTTCAGCAGCATAGGTGAGAAGATGTTACAAGGACAGTGTAATTCCAATTGGCTCCACCGTACTTCTGTCAGTGCTCTGTATGATGCTATCTTAAACCTAGGTCTTTCGCATAGCAGTCTCCATGAAAGCAGGACTTAAGCCCACGTGAATCTGACTTTGATTTAGTAGGAAACTGCGTGTTAATATAGCTCTGTGATGCTCAGTTTGAGGAAAAATTGTACCAATGGTAACCATTTGTTTAAAGGAGCATTGGATTTTGTGGAATATTCCACCAGTGTCCTTCAGCTGGGTCTCTTGAAAATTGTGCATATTCTAACTGCTGCTAACTACTATCGTGTTGATTTTGATTGTTGAAAAGCTACAATTAAAAAAGGAATATAAAAGATGAAAAGTTTTTTTTGAGACAAGATGGCAATTCTGGATTTTTTTTCTTTATTTTTTAGAAGAAAAACCTAAAATTCTGCTTGGTTTAGATCTCTTTATAACTGATTTTTCTTTTTTCCAGCTTGGCTTCTTTAAATGTGAGAGAACATGTTTCAGTTTACTACTATGCATTTCTTAAATCTGCTTAGTAGCCCCAGAAGAAAACACCCCAAAGATGAAAATTCACCTCTGCATGTTCCCTGTTATCAAGCTAAAGCAAACTTTCATATTTGCTTTTGTACATATTTTATTATCTCATATTTTAGTGTCTCTTATCCATCTTACAGAATCTAATTCTGAAGCGTCAAATGAAGAATTAAAGCAACAACTTCGAGAAGCTCTAGAGGTTAGTAACAGCACCCAGTATGCTGTTTCTGAAATCTACGTTTCGTTCTGATGTAGCAAAGTAGAGCACAACGTTACTTTAGCTAAAGATTTTGGCATGTCCAGAACCTTGCATAGATTCAGGTTCTCTCAAATAGAGCAGTAGTTGGAAATCCCATTAAATTTTAAACCAGGGAGTCACATCATGTGATTCATCTTATCATCTAAGATTTTTAGCAAACAAAAATCTTTTTCTAAAGATGTAGAGACCATTAAAGGGACTGAGCTTTTTTTTCCTAGCAGATTTTCTTTTTTATTAAGCTTTGGGCTTGAAAATCTGGAGTGTAAACCGAGTAGTCTTTTGGGTTTTTTATCTGCTTTTTTATTGAAAGGTAGTTAATGACTCCAACATTTTAGTTTTACTATGAGATAAAGGTGCTGAGGTCAATCCATGCAGAGCTAGCAGGGTAATCTCAGCTGCACGTATGCGCCGTGTTCCTTTACCTCAGGATAGCTGTCTTCATAAGAAGAAGCGCACAGCAAGTTAAAATGTCCGGGAACCTCACCAAGGTTCAATCAGACAAATTTAATAAATTGCCATTGTATAATATACATCACAAAGAAGAAAAATGTGTGTTGTATTAATATTTACACTGAGAATATTATTACTGTAACATAAAAGTATTGCTACATACATACATACAAAAGTATTGCTACAAACATATTAAAAAAACCCAACATCCTCACCCTTTTCAGCTGAGCACTGTCTATGGAAGATGATAAAATAAATCAATGAGAAAAAGGAGGGAACAAAGCAGTGGCCTCCAGCTTAATTTCATAATGGAATAATTTCACAAGAACATAAAAACAAATATGTTGTAGGAGGAGGAATGGATAAGAGTACTTGGGCTCAGTCCTTTTGGTCTAGTCAGTGCTCTTCAGGAGTTTGACTGCCTTCAACTCCTGTTAGTTTAAGTAATCTCTCTGTAGTTTCCCTTGCCAAAGGAGCTGGGCGTCTGTATCAGGAATCTGAGAAAACGTTCTTTTGTTCCTTTTCTCAAATAACATTTAAGTAAGCAAAACAGGAGAAAATTAAATTTCATAATTGACTGTTCAGAGACTAGTATTGCTTTTATTTGACTGTTGTTAGGCTCTTGTGGCAATGCCGCACAAGATGCTTTGTGGCTTTTTGTGGGTTTTTTTCCTGAGATGAGTAGCTGTTTCTTTAACAAGACAGAGCTGCAATATCTACCAGTTTATTTTGTAAGCACACTTGAAGAGAACAGAAAGAATAATAATTGCCAGTATTCTTCAGTAAGAATGTTGCTCTAGCAGGCAGTTCTAACATTTCTTTGTCACAAGCTGTTACAAAAGATTTATACAAGAGGCAGAGGAGAAGATTGTTGCTTGCAGAGGGCAAAATTGCCTTGCTGTTATGGTTGCGTTTTAACGGGATTGTCTTTGATTTTACTCAGTGTTCCTGTTTTATTTTGCCTCAGGAAGTTGAAGTTTTAAAAGCTGAGCTTGAAGCTTCTCAAAGACAGCTTGAAGGAAAAGATGAAGCCCTTAGAATCCTACAGAGCGTGGTAGGAGTTGTTCTGAAATCTTTTGGTTAGTTAGTGGTAGAGCAAAGAAAACAAAAAGCATCTTCCTGCTGCTTCCTATCAAAAACACCTAAAAACTTAAATGCTTCCCAGGGCTATAATTTGAAGTATTAAATCTGTAGGTGTGTACAGGCTTGACTGTTACGATGTAGTAGTTTTTCTCTGTGGATCCGTTGCAGTTAATTCAAGGAGACCTCAGTGTTGTAGCAAAATCTCATGACTTTATGCTTGAGGGTCTAGCTATTTGATTTAAGGAATGCTGCCCTCTTTGCAGTCCTTTAAATTATGGACTTTCTAATGCTGGCAATTCTGCTGTAAAGCAGAGATGTTTTCAGTTCATTATTCCATCTATCATCTTAGAGGACAGTATGCTTTAAATATTAGGTCAATTTTTCATTCATGGTGTATAGTATTTTTGTTTACTGTCACAATCAATGGTATTGAAACGAATTGATGTTTTTTAACCTACTTGCGTAATCCTTTCGTAGTTCTGCTGGTTTCTACCCTCAGACGTTCATAATAAGCTATGCCCAGGTCAAGCTAAAGTATGTTGTAACAAAGCCTTTTGAGAGTTGGTCTGGTGATGTGGAAAAGCCCTAAAGAAGACATAGTCTCTCTTTAAATTATGCTACGTTTTTTGAATAGAAAAGGCTATGAGATGAAAGCCAAGTTTGTTATGCACTTTAGCTACTTAGCGTCTTGAAATTAGAACCCACTGGTTCTTAGCCAAGAACTTTGACTTACAGTGATATAAAATTGAAAATCTGGCTTTACTTAATTACAGTATTTGATAGACTTGTGGTTTTGTTTTTTTTTTTTACAGGCAATATTTAATAAAGCCACCAGTCATACAAAAGCAATGCTTCAAAAAACCGAGGAAGAAAAGAGAGCTTTAGAAAAGGTAAGGGTAAAAGTATTTTTAAAACCTGTGCAAAAGTTTTCCTTTTTCCATGCAAAATCATAATAGCTTATTGCTCCTAACCTGGTTTAAAATGGAATAAGGAACGGTCATACTGTTTAGTTAAGTCGATTTGGAGCTAAGATTAGTTTTGGATTTTTTGAAAGTATTCTTATTTTTCTTTAGTAGAAAGGGAAAATGTTAATTTATCACTGTTTTGATCTGAATGTTTTCGTCCTCTGCTGTGTACAGATAACACCTGAAAGATCCTAGAGTTCTTTCTGTATTTTCGGTTGTGAGTTTTACAGTGCTTTGTTTATACTGAGTTGCTTTATTTCCTCAGTATAATTTATTGACCTAGAACTTTCAAACAAGCCTAAGAAAAGAGCGTACCCGATTTTAATAGGGTGGAAGAGGAGGAATAGGAAGAAGGGCACTGAGCTGCTTTGTTAATCTCAGATTTATGTTTTATTTCTTTCTTATGTGGCCTTTCGACAAAACAATAAGGGATGCATTTTAAAAACGGGAAAATATGATAGCATGGGTTTGTTTTTGTCATAAGCCACTGCAACTGTTAGCTTATTCCACATGGTCCAGAATTCATAGACTAGTGATAGGAACCTTTCTGGTGTTTGGTACATTTATTAAAAATAAATAAATAAAAAGTTATAGATTGTTATCACTGTTGGTTGCCCAAATCTCTGTCAGTGCCATACTCGGGACTTACAGTTCACATCTCTTTCTTTCATCATCAGGTTTGTAATGAGCTGCTGATGATTTGTTTTGCCTCTACAGGAAATAAATACTTTGCAATGGGAAATTGAATTTGATCAGGATAGATTTAAAAATATAGAAGAGACATGGACAGAAAAATATGACAGGTATTTGACTCATTCTATATATCTTTGGAGTTTTTAATTGCATTGAATGCTACATATTATCTTTCTTTTGTTCTCTGTTTCATTTTATCAGATTTTCTATTTTTTCATATTTTCCCATTTTCTTTCTGGATTTGGCAAGAAATATGTAATTGTCCTGCTAGTCACATTTATATGTTTCAATTAAAACTACTAAAAGTAATAATTCTCAATTCTTTAGTGTGTATATAGGTTGGCTTTGGTAGGCTGAGTTTTCGATTCAGTCATATTGCTTTATTATGTTAGCCAGTTGGAACCAGATTGTTCTTATTTGCTTTAAATGGAAATGAGGCGTGGAGGCATAGAAATGCCTCTATGAAAATGGAAAATGAGGCATGGTATGTGCATGCATGTGGAAATATCATTTTCTGGGTGTGTGGGTGGTGTGGGTTTTTTTTTTTGGTTGGGTTTTTTTTTTTTTGCGTTGTAGGTATAAGCATGGGTAAAAGGGAATGTTTTTGAGAGAGGTTGGTCAACTGGTTCTTTGTTTAAACGAGTTTTCTGTACTGACAGCAGGTGTTGCCTCGTTAGGCAAGCAGAAGAAGCCAGAGGCACTAAATAAATAATACAATAACAGACTTTGAAAACTGACCAGCAGGCTCCACTTATTTAAAGGTGTAAGTGATCCCTCTGAAGTCTATCCATCAGAGTTGCAGTTATTTTAATGGAGACTTTTATTTAAAATTTTCAAACAGAATCAAGGAATAAGCCAATAATTTAAAATTGTTCACTTGTAAGAAGTTTTTTTTGAAGATATTATTTCTTTTTTACCTGTTAACTTAGTTACAATTGTCAAAGAATACCTTCTGAAAAACCCTTTGGCTCTTCTGAGTTACAAAAGCAGAAAGTGTTGCCGGGTTTTTTTGGAGTAACAAAACTAGTACTAACTGTTGAAAAACAGAGATTGAAACACGGCTCTAGAAAACTACAAGCTACAATAAGTCATGAACTCAATCAAGTTTGCATTTTGATGTCTGAGACAAGATGAGCAGAACGTGTGTTTCCCTTTATTTAATCAAATGAAAATATTTCAGATTACTAGTTAGTTTTAAACAAAACCCTGAAGTAAAGTATGCTGTGTTTACTGACAGCTGAAGATCTATACCAAGAAAAAATGCCATTGCTTCAACATTGAGGATTTTAGATTAACGCTTCCCTATTCAAGAAGGAAATACCTAAATGCCAAGGAAAAATGCATTGTAAATGTATATTGTATGTTTTCATGTTTTAAAGCTTAAAAGTGCAGCTGTTCTCTAGAATGGTATTTAAAGACATAGGAAATTTACTTTCTAAACTTAAGACCAGAGCCGTATTGTCATAGGTTGCTAGCAAGTGTTTCAGGAGTTCGCAATTACAGATTTTATCAACAGTTTCTAAAGGCAATGTGATATTAACCTCATTTCCTGGTTAAGTTCTGAAGTTTTTGGCATTTCTATTTACGTGTGAGTGATTTTTTTTTTAAACATTCTCTTGCAAAACCTTTGAACATACTTTGACGTGTTTAAATTGGTTGTGTGAGGGTGTGGTTTAATTAAAATGGTCAGCCTGTTTGAACAACACGTTATTTGAATTGCAGAGAAACTACAATATGAATGCAGAGATTCTCAAGATTTTCTTCCTGTAGAGCGATCTGCAGAGTGGATAAACTTAGGAGTGACTCGGCAGAAGCCAACGTGGTCTAGCTTTGTTCGTTAGCCTTGACTCAGTGCCAGTCAGACCAAGCCTACACATAGCTAGCCACTCCTGCAGGTGTTTTGTGATCCACACAGTTTTGCCATCTGTATTTTTCATTATTCAGAATATTACATTGTTTCCAGCTGTTTGCCCAGTTGGTTATATTTTAAATACTATTAGCATGATCTCCCATCGAAAAATGCTGACTGTATAAAAGTTAATTCTTATCTAGTTTTTTCAGAAAGCTAATTAGGAGCAGTTTCAAGTTGTTTGTTGACCCCTGACTGGCAGATCTGTGTATAACAATATTAATAGATCGTCAGTATAGATACCGATGTGGAAAAATTTTACAAACTTTTACCTAAAAAATGTTATAAGTGTGGAAATGTATGTCAAGCTGAACACTCAATTTTTTCACTTTTGTTTTTTTTTCTTCAATCATTTCGACAATTCTGATTTTGAATTGCAGAAGCATTAGATGCAGTGTTTTCACAGGCTAATGGCTTCTTTCATTTGAGTGCTATTTTTTAATAATTATTTTAAAGATAACACAGCCTTTCTCTAACTTCTGCAGGATATATTGTGAAAATGCAGCTCTTAAGGAAACATTGAAACTGAGAACAGAAGAAGTTAGAACTCTTAAATCTGAAAATGCAAGTAAGCCACCTCTTAAAATACTGTTTCTCAGGAATAATTGAGAACTGAACTGTGACTACAGCTTTCTGTCAGGATAAGTCTCTCATGTTAATAGCAGTTGGTATCAGCGGATATGCAGGAATCCCCTTTAAATAGATGGATAGTGCCTGTTATCTTTGTCATGTTGTCATTTGAACTAAAAAATTCATAAAACAATAGCAAAAGTTGGGTGTGCATAGCTTAAAGAGTAGATTAAGCCTGAAGGAAATATGCGTCTCTTATCTTATTGGCTTGGTAACGTAGTGGGTGTGAAAGGAAACAACCATTCTGTGTTCCTTAATGTCCTGGAAGGAGGGAACAGTAGGCCAAGCAAGCCACAGAATGCTCCTGCTACAATGAAAATTACCATGAGGTGGCTTTAACATATCCACTTAAAGATTCCAATAGCATAAACTTTGGGATATTTAGCGTGTCAGCTTTAAAATGGAGTTTTTCAAAGTGTAGGCGCTGCAGAGATCTAAGTGGATCAGATGACTCAAGCTCCTTTACGTCATTTTCAGCTTCCACATAGCTTTAAAAAAAGCTGAATTACATAATTATTTTCCTAATATTGTGCTTTTCTAAAAGAGCAACTGTCTTAGTTGTGAGTGAAAAAAGAGGTGGGCGCGTAATACTGAGGAAAAGTAATGTATGAGGTAGTATCTCTGTAAATGGGTCATCTTCTCTAGGAAAACACATAGGGAAAGGCAACTGGGATCTGAGTTTGTAGACGTACATAGTCTCCTCATATCCTCAAATTGATGCTTAAGCCATAAAACTGCTTCATTTAGGTGTAGCTAAACTCAGTAATTAAGAAATCAGAACAGCAAACTTTTCATTATTTTCATTGTTCTATTTCATAGTTTTGAATCAGCAGTGCTTAGAATTTCTTGCAATGCTTGATGTGAAACAACAGAAGATTATTCAGGAAAATATGTCCTGGGATAAAAGTGACCTTACAGATGTTACAGGTCTTGAAGTAAGTATGGAGTCTGTTTTTCATATAAAGATATGTTTATATTCAGAATACATGTTCCTAAATTTTGTTTGTTTAACTGTTTCTTTGGACTTGTTTCTAGCAAATGAAAACATGGCCTTGCGTGCCTGTGAACCAATTTTCTAGTTTTTGATGCTTTGTGACTTCTGTTTTGCAAAGAAAGAGTAGATAGAAGAAGCATCAGGCTGTCTTTCACAAGCCAGCATGTTTATTTTTGTCTTCCTAATATTTTAATTCCTAATTCCCTGCCTACTGCTTTTCTTTAATGAGTGGGAAAACATATTAATGAGGTCTGCGAGGAGTAGCATAAACACGCTGACAATTTTTGCCTTTAGGTTATCTTTTTCCAGTAAATTAGAAGTGATCTCTTTCAGCAAGTTTTTGGTCAGTGGAAAATGCCCTAGTAACCTCACCTACCTGTCGAAGAACATAAGGGGATGACCAAGAATCTATCTTATACGTTGCAAAGTCTTATGTCCTAAACTGCTGTTTGGAAGTCTGTATTCCAAATCTTTGCTCATAAGCTAAAAAGCAGACTGTATGGTATAAAACACTTATTAATGTTTCTGAAAGTGTTCAATCTGGCAAGATCACACAAGATCAGGATGTTTTGTTGGTAGCCTTCTGGCATCTCTTGGATTGTTTTGTGTGTGCAGGTAGTTATTTAACTGGTGATTTGTTTTTGGATTTAAAGCTGGCAGTTCTTGGAGCCTGCACCTGCCGTGCTTCTGGAGGGCAACCTTGTTCCTGTGCTAAAATGTCAGCTGTAACTCGAAAGCAACTTCTTCAGCTCAAGCAAGAGGTAATGCTGCCTGACTTAAATGTAAACAAGCAGAGGGGTGTGTGTGCTCAAAACCAAATAAAGCCAGAAACACCCTACCTGCCGCTTAGGCAAACTAATGTGTTTTAAAACAAAAGTGCTTTTCAGAATATGTAATGTTTGTAATACCGTAACTTTTGCTGATGTAGAACTATAATTATTATATAAAAGAGTTTTACTTGTAAAAAGTTCTTCCTCATTTTTTTTTCTTACTCTCTATTCCCTTCTACCCATATTTTATTAATATAAAAAATGAATACACTCAAAAGGAGTACTTTTGAAATCTGAGCATCAGCTACCACTGAAAGGGATGGCTTCCCTTATTTCTTGGCAGTGCGTTCCACCTCCTCGCTTGTGTTGGCATCAGCATTCACAGGGCTGCGCAGTGAGCCAGATCGTGGAGCTGGTCTTGCTGAAAACTATTTACATCACGCTCAATTTAATAAAATGATTTTTAAGCTCTTACAGTTTTGAATTTAGTTAAACATACAGTTTTAGATATTACAGAGTTTTTTTTTTTTTAATTTTAATTTGTGTTTTACTTTACAAATGTGGTATCCTTTCTCATGATCCTCACGCGGAAGTTCCACTTGAAATTAAGTACTGTTATGTCCCTGTTGTACCAAGGTTATCCCTGATAGGGATACCGTTCTTTTGCTCCTGTGCGTAGGGTCAGTTGGTATGGGATATTCCTGCCCTCTTCTGCCTTTCTGCTCAGGCAGAGATAAATAGCATTACTGGCAGCCAGCTAATGCAGTGTGTAGGTGGGTGCTGTGGTGTGCATGCAGAGAAAGGGAAGGGTAAGGACTTCAATTTCCAGTTCAAAATATATTTTAAGGTAGCAAGAAAGCATTTAATTTGGTTTCCACCACTTCCCTGATTAGATATATTTAACATTTGTCTGGCTTCTCTTCAATTCCCTTTTACCTGCACAGGCCTGCCTTCACATCCCTATGGTAATCTGATAACATACAAGTTCTGAATTATGTTAATGGCTTCAGCCTGTCTCTTAATATACATTTTAAATCTGCTATTGCTTTCAAATTGCTTAATATACTTCAATTTTTCTCTGAATTATAACCAGATTGAACTTCTAAAGAAGAGAAAAGATGAAGCTTATATAATGGCAGATGCCTTCAGAATTGCATTTGAGCAGCAGCTAATGCAGAGGAAGGACCAGGCCCTGAGGCTTGCAGAAGTGAATAAAATTAAAAAGGAAACAAAATTTATAAGCTGGAGACGTCTGAAAGAGGATGGTAACTGGGCATGTTGTGTAACTGTTAACGGTTGAATAGAGAAGTTAGCTGACAAGTGGCACAGGCAAACTTGCTTGCCGTATCAAATGTATGGCTGTGGCTTGGTTGCTGACTGAGGCTTCTGAAGAGTTAAGAAAAAGGGAACAAAGTTATGTCAACTTGGAAATACGTTAAATAGTGTATCATGTAGCTGAGGAAGTTCTGCTAGAAACGTCACATATGTGATATAGGAAGTCTGTGTGTAAGTGGGAATGTTACAGTAATCATTATATAAATACTGATGTATGACATCGGAGTTATTAGTCTAGGCTTTTAATGTAGTCTTTTTTTATTACACATTCATGAACTATATTATCTGAGTAGAAACATTTTAGAATAGATAAGCTGTGCTCCAGAATGACAGCGACAACCTGACTATTAACGATGCTTACTATGAAAGCAACGTATAAAAGCTAATGTCCGGGCAAGTTTAACCTGGCCATTTTAGATGCTATGAACAATTTAAATATTTTTGTTTAAAAATTACTTCTATATAAGACTTATGAAAGGTGTATAAATGCAAAGAAGTCTATACTAAGCTTTCACTGAAATGCTGAATACAAATTTTTCTTTTTTTTGTGAGCATTTTTAGTTTTTGATTATATATGTGTCTACATATAGTATATATTTATTATTATAATTGCACTTAGCATGGTCATCTATGAGTTACAAAGCACTCGGAGGAAGAGGAAGAATTGTAATTATCCTTTCCTTTTTCAAGAGCGAGATTAAGAGGAGTACTTTAGTGTTTATGTCACAGTCAAAACCATAGCAGAATTAGGAGTGAAACCCACTTCCAGATATATTGGTGTTAGCCATTGGCCTGGAGGTGCTAGGCTTAGGAGTCTGGTGGTGCCAGGGTGCACCTCAGGAAGTAATACTAAAACAGGATACTTATCTGTTTCCCCTGTACTGGTGTCATTGCTTCCAAGTTTTGTATTCCAATACATCTATTTCATAAGTTGAATGTATTTTAATCTTTTTAGAAATCTTAGAAACTTTTAAACAATTTCTGTCAAAAAATGTTTTTCTCAGTCTACCAAGTATTTAAAAACAGGTTACAAAGAACTGCTATTTCACTAGAGCCAAATTGTATTTTTCATGTAGCAAAAAGAGCTTCTCTCTTTGCCCATATCTGTGAGAAGACTATTTAGTCAATAAGTTATGGTAAGGGTGATGCTGCGTGCAAATTATGATATTATGTACACTAGAAGAAGCTGTGACTTGCATTTTAGAGAAGATAGATCAGAATCCTGTTTCATTTGTGTCTATTTTATCCCAGAGCGGTGTCGTCTTATGCGATACCGGAGTTCATGTCTGTTGTGTTTCAGACAAAAAATAACTCTCTCTCTTAGGATGTGTCAAGCTGCAAGGAAACAAGAAAAGTCTTGGACAAAAATTATCAGGCCTGCTGTCTTCTGGTGTGGACTGCAGGAAAGTTGAAGAACTAGACAATCCTCAGGAAATCCTTAAGTTGTTAATTGATTTGGTTAGTATTTTTTTTAATTGTTCGGCATGAGTACTTAGGGGAAGAGGTGTAATTGCTGACCTACACAGAGTGCTTTGTTCTTAGCTTATAAACTAGTTTCATTGTTTTCTTTCTTTTTTAAATGAATACAGCTAAATGACAAAGAGGAGGCTTTGGCTCATCAGAGAAAAGTTAGCTACATGTTAGCTCGTGCAATGGAGATGAAAGAGGATGCTTCCAAACAAAATAAAGAAAATGACACTCTGAGGAATCATCAATATAAAGCCTTGCAATCCCAAAGGTCAACTGATCTTGTATACACGTGCAGCCAAAACCTCCGTTCTCAAAACAGTATTTATCCAATTTCCAATACAAAAAAATTTGAAAATTCAGTAAAATTGCTTCAAAAATCTCATTCTTGGCCAGAGACTATGCGCTATGAAGAAAATGATTCACATGGAAAAACAGATGAAACTGTTGTGATCTCAATATAGTCATCAGCTGGGATAGTGGGTTTTTTTTTTTTTTAAGATGCTTTGGAAATGCTTAAAAACAAAGACGACTGCAGAAATGGGGCTCTCTTTGTAAAACTTGGAATTAAATGCTAATTAGCACCTAACTTTGATTATCATCTAATAAGAACTAAACGGTAAAACGTATTTTATGAACATTTCTGTTGGAGATATTTCAACACGAATGTGAAAAACAAGTAAGATAATTCTCAAATTGTGTTGTATAGCCTTTTCTGTTTTGATAGTTTCCTCTGGCCCTGAGTGCCTTCTGCTAGGGACAGTCATGACAAGAAATTTTGTCAGAATTGGGAAAATCGCTTAAAATTAATGTAGATCAGTGATTTTTTGCTATAAGGAAACGTTACTCTTTCTCTTTTTTTTCCCCCTTACAAAAACTGATACCCAAAATAAAGTTCACCAAGAAGTTACCAAATTACCTGTATTGTTTTCCATCTTTAGGGTGTACTGAAAAGAAGGTATACATAAAGTATGGAAAGTGCTGTATTATACTGATTTCTGTAGTTCCCTAAAATGACACTAACACTGGACACGTTTCAAAAGACTGTGTATGCAAGAAATAGTAGACAGCAATTGGTAGACTGGAATAGTAGACTGAATTTGAGTGTGATTTCGGAGGTTGACTATTTATATTTTCCATATGACTTTTGATTATTTACTGAGTCATTAAAACAAAAGAAAAATCTTCCTTTAAGGTTAGCTTTTTGCATACAATTCCAAAGACAATTTAGAGCAAGACTTCAGTTTTGTCTTCAGCTTGTTTTGTCTTACTGAAAAAAAAAATCTCCGTTGCTTTACTGTGGATCAAATAATAACATTTGAATGTTAGAAGGTTTTTGCTTCATTTCAGGCTTTTGGTTGTAATATGATGAATTCTACTTCACGAGAGAACTTGTCGAATACCAGAAAATGTGATTTGCTGCTAATCATGGAGTCATTCATTCACTAGTTTGTGGAGAAGCTAATCGTTCAGTAGTCATTCACTAATCAGTGGAGAAGCTGGAAAACCAACAGCTTGGTTGTTACCAAGCTAGTTATATGTTCACCGATGTTCACTTGGGCATCTTTACCCTGATCTATTTTGGGTACTTAAGGATGCTTGCGAGAAACAGGAATCGGATAAAAAGAAGCACATACTGACTTCTAGCTCGTTTTACCAGATAAGCTATCTGGAATAATTAATAATTTCTGTTCAAGATCTAATGTGAAGATCTTACATGAAGTCCAAATCTTTTTGAGTAGATGGCTCCTAATTTATTGGTAGAAGAGTTAGTAGAATTGTCTGCTTTACAAAGCTGACCACATTAAAGACCCCACAATACCTCAATGTATTTGGGGAATAGTCTTTGTAAGGCTTAGGTATGTTCACACATTTAGATCTGCCTCTCTAACAGAACAAAAAGTGTTCTTCACAGAAAGTAAAGAACAGAACAAAAGTTGAATTCATCTTGGTGTTCAGTCTCATGGGTGCAGATGGATGTTAAGATGCGTTACCAGAGCTGGAGGAGCAGCTTAGGATACCTGCCCAGATTCGTGCCAATTCATCTCGATGCCCTTGTGAGCTACTGTTGCCGTAAGAGACGCGATACATATACGTGGGTAAGTGAAACTCTCTCTGTATGGTATTGGTCTTACTTGCAAAGACGATGCTTTTGACATCAAAGGAAAATTTGCTTGCTCTGAAAACCAGGTCGTAGTATCTTCCATTTTATTACATCTTCAAATTCCATCAAATTTATAAAACTGTCCCTTAATGATTGTTTAAGGAGTATGTTCTCCAGCCTTCACTAAAATCCCCACAGGCATCAGTGAATGATGATACCATAGCTATACAGAGCCTTGAACGATAAACCTTTCTCGGCCTTCCCTCATTCTCCAGAAGTAGTTCTCACGTGGGGAATGGTCTGAGCTCCTTCTCCTTACTGCCTCCCTTGTACGTCCAAGAGGCGGTAGTGCTGCTTACAGGTCGGCTGCAGATACAGAAGTGTGTTGGTTTATGTTTATATCTGGAAAGACAGTCTTGGTTTTCTTTATTTTCAAATGGCTCATTTGGATCATAATCCTGAACTGTGGCAAGTTCTGTGTGCACAAAGGAAGAATACAGGGAGTTCTGCCCTATGTCTGTTTTCAGCCAATTTACTGACGGAATGGATGCGAGCCTTTCAGAGAGAGTTCCCATTCAGTGTGATTGATACAGGGTTGAAGTGTACAAAGAAGCTTCATCTGTGGCTTTTATTCTGAACATCTTCTCGAAGCCTTACTCTGTTCTCCCTTTTCCCCTCTATACCACAGCAAAGAAGAGGTGGGAGGAGTAGACATCGTTGTATACCCATTTTCTTTTTCAGAAGGTTTAGTTGCTGTAAAGTTGCTGATGTTCACATCAAAGCGTATTTTTTTCTTGGATAAGTGCAGTTGCATTAAAGGGAGATGAGTTACATGGCAGAAGATGTGGCAGATGGCATTAATTTTGATCTCAGTGAAACGAGTGGAGAGCAGTGAAAATCTCCATCATTCAGACACCATCTGCTAGATCGCATGACAGCAGTGGAAAGAAAAACTGACTTTTGAAGAAGAGTTTCCATGTTCGTTTTGGACCTCGGAGTCCATTACTTACAGAAAGAGGAAACCCCTCAAAAGATTTTTAGTGGCCTTATTTTTAATTTCGGCAAGATGAGTGACTCTTTCAGGCACAGTGTGTTGATTTATCTGTTGCCTGATCTTTGTTTGCACTCTGTTTTGCTTGTTCATTCATTCATTTTGACTAGTCATCTTGGACTGTAAATTATCAAGGGAAAGGACTACTTTATTATGATGTTTCAAACAGATTCTAGGGCAAAAGAAGTGGCCAAATCGCTAGTGGCCAAATGACCATCCCGCAATGTATTAGTTGATGCTGTGATGCTGTGGTAACTTTATAATATCTATTCCTTTGGAGAAACAACCTTATTTAATGAAATGGTCACTTCCAGACAGAGCAGACTAGCGTTAAGCTATTTTACGTTTCCCGACCCTTTGCTTTTACCTGCTGATTTGCTGACTCTACAGGACAAAAAATTCTGATTACTAAGTCATGTTAACTGGAAAAGTATAACGGTAGTGAATACTTACAAAATACCCAAAAATATACAGCAAATATATATGCCTTAGGTACTTAGAAGCAGCTCGATTATTTGATTTATGCGACTGATTGAGTAAGAAGAGCTTGTCAACAGATTTGGGAAGCTTTTCTCCATACAGATTTTTTTTTTTAAGTAGACGAAACACACATGGTAACTAGGTAATGCCTTACCCGTTTGAAGGATTTTATGTATTGTCATATTGCAATTAAATTATCATGGTGGAGGCCCTTAATATTTGGCCTAGACTTGCTCCATCTCCAGCCAGTTTGCAATTAGGGCGAGTCGTGGTAGCTGTGTTGTGACCCTGCACCTTGCTGAAGGGCAGCTGCGGGTGGGGGGAACCACGCGGAGCTTGCGCTACTTGAAATGACGGATTTCTGATGATCATATAGCACCGTCACAGCCAAAACCCCGGCCTTTCATTCCTTGCGGAGACTTCATCCA